AAGAGCTGTTCAAATGATTTGGGGGATATTTCTCATTCAAATCCTCATACAGTCTACCTAACAGGAGGTATTATTCTCATCCACACATTGCAGATGAGCTTTCTAAGGCAGAGGGAGGCTAATGAACTTTTTCAAGGTCACAGAATTCATAAGTGATAGGACAAAATCCAATTTTGTCATGTGGCCCTCCACTGTGTGCATTACCTCCATGCCAAAGTGTTAACTGACGAGGCCTGAGAATGCAGTGATGATACGTGATGTGATAAACAGCATATCACATGTGCAATGCTATGCTTCTCTGCATATTCTCAAATTCATATATTGTCTTTTAAAAAATTTATTCATATGAGCACTTAACTGAGACTCACTTTATTTTTCATGTAGAACATAAATCAACTAGTATTTGGTCAAAACAAAAGCTAAATATGGGAATGATATTAGCGTTAGTTTTTATATCTTTTGCCTTATAATTTGGCCTTTAGAGAGTTGCTCTTTGCAGATCTTTTGCTTGATTTCTACTCGCTAGTTCAGGCTTGAAGACCTAACCAATACCCATAGGTATTCATTGTTGGACAGACCTTCCCATTTGGAATGAGTAGAACTGGTCAAGTTTGAACAGTCCACTGTATGAGATTGGCCCATAACCAAATTATAGCTTTAGGAGAAACAAAAAAAACCTGATTGCTTGTTGCCTTCCAAATTCTTGACATGTTTTTAATGTAGAGAGCTGTTCTAAAGAAAAGGGGGGGCTGAGGAGAGAGAAACCTTGAAAACCCCACAGTATACAATCTGCGTCATTTGCTTTTCTAACTTGTTGTTCCTTGCCAGGGTCAATAAACTACTTTAAGTAGTTTAGCATGTTTGGTTGGCTGTTCCTACGCATAAAATAAACAAGCCATCTAGCATTTTCTTTACAAGGCATGGCGATGGGTGCTGTGTAACTGCCCTGTATAACTCTTAATGAGGGAAGAAAGAAATTTACCTTGCAGAGTTATCAAAAAACAAACATGTTTTTCTAGTGCCTGGGTCCCTGACCAACTTGCCTATTGCTGTGTAAGAATTTTTTATATAGTGTCTTAAATTCCAATCCTGCATGCCAAAGAAGCATTTCAAAACCTGCGCTCGTCTTATCTGATGTGACATCAGCACAATTGATTCTTTCTCCCTTTTAGAACAGTGTCGGCTAAGATTCAGAAGTGAACCAAGACAGCTCAAGGTCTGAAGAGTACGTGAGTGGTTAGATTAGGGCATGATGTTTGCAGTGAGCACTTACAGGAATGAGATGCTATGTGTGGTAACTTGCTAAAAAATGTTGTGTGCTGAGGTATTTACATGAATTTTCGCTGGAATAGCTTGTTAGTTTTATTTTTAAATTACACAATTAACTCTTAGGAACAGCAAGAGTTTGTCAGAAGAAACCTCAGGTGGGTTGGGAAGCAGAAGACAAACTCATTTTTCAAATTATGAAATCTAGTATGAGCATCACTTTTAATGTTTTGCTTTTTAAAAAGATTAATAATAAATGGGAGATGCTAATGCTCAGTGCATTTGGATTATCTTAAAAATAGATTTTGTTAATGAAAAAAATTGCAAAAGTTAATTTGTTGCATGAGAATCTGATTCTTAAGACTGATTTAAAAAAGAGAGAGAAAGGATTTGTTTTTAAGAGAAAGGAAGGAGAAAGAGGGAGAGAAATATCAATGTGTGGTTGGTTCTTGTGTGCCCCCTACGGGAGAGCTGGCCTGCCACCCAGACATGTGCCCTGACTGGGAATCAAACTAGCAGCCCTTTGGTTCACAGGCCAGCGCTCAGTCCACCGAGCCACACCAGCCAGGGCTCAAAAAGGATTTTTAATAAGCAGGTTTGGAATGCTGAGTTCATGGTGTCCTTCCAAGCTGGATAAATCAGGAAGCATGCTCTTTACCAAGAAAGGGATGGTCTTTTGGAAGAGAGGGTAATCAACCTAGATTCCGTCTACTTGGCATGAACATCAGAGTTCTTGTGGTGGTTCACAGGAGGGAATCCGCTTCCATACATTTGGCCAGATTTTTGGTACCGGCTTACAAAGATTGAGCAACCATGAGCCTGGCTTGAATTTTATTAAAATGGAATATTCAAAGCATACTCTTACCATTGGAATGGAGTAGAATGAGTCCTTTGATTGAGATGGGCCCTTAGTATATGCATGGCTTGGGCAAGTTTTTTTACTTGTTTCATTGGAAAACTTGCTGTTTTCCTTTCTTTGTCTAGACATGGTCCTCTCTATCTACAATATTCTTTGAAGAGCATCTAGCTCTCTGTAAAACATCTAGCAAAGGAGAAAAAAATAAACCCATACTTTCACAAATGCTTGTCACTTTTTTAAAAAAAAGCAATGGGATTTTATATCAAGTTTTTGTCTTCCCTTACACCTGAATTTGTTTAAATGTGATGCTCATGATTAGGTTAGAAATGAGTGATGATAAATGGTTATTTGTTGAACTAATTCATGGAGGAAAGTGACCTCCCAAAGCAACCCCACCGAAATCCTGTAGCAGGTTTCTGAGGAAGCTTGTGTTTTCCATTCGTTCCCGAGAAATTTGAGGGGAGCCATCCATTTTGCCAGTGGTTTAGCTGAAATTAAAACTTAATAACCTTCTGGCCCAATGCCTTTGCTCAAACTTCTGGGAAGCACAGACTTCTGTTGTTTAGTATTGCCTGCGTCTTCCAGATACTCAGTTGGGGGAAATGCAGATTCTGCACTCCGGCCTTGGCAGTGGAAACCTCGGCCTGGGGAGCAGTACTTCACGTGTTCCCAGCAACACTAAAGGCTACCACAGGTCAGCGACCTCAGAGTCTAATCTCTTGCTCCCACCCACAGTACAGAATGTTTAATGGGATACAAATAACGTATTTTTCTGTATATAGTGTGCACCCATGTTTTTGGCCCAAATTTTCAGGGAAAAATTTTTTGTTTTAATTTTTTAATTCAATTTTTTTGTTTATTTATATTTAGATACTTGTTTTTTTCTATTATAAAGGAATTTTAGCATATGCATTATTTTGCATATGGATATTGTTATTGCTTTCTAGAGTTATACTTTTAATGCATAAGCCTAAATGAAAGAATTAGAAATAGATAGATAGATAGATAGATAGATATGGAATTAATACTATCCATGTATAATGTGCATTCTTAGTTTTCCCTCAAATATTTGGGTGAAAAAGGGCACATTACACATGGCAAAATACAGTACATCCCTTGGGCCTTTGCTTCATTGATCAAGGCAGTTACTTTTTGTTTCTTTCAGCCTTTTTATTTTGAATATTTGTAAATTACATAAAAGGTAAAGACTAGTATAGTAGAAAATCTATATACCCTACATCTGTATTTATCAGTTATTCTTATTTATTTATTTTTACTGAAGTATTTGCAAGTAAGTCGCGAACACTATGACACTTCACCACTGTGGACTTTGCTGTGCATTTCCTACACATAAGAATGTAACCATGGCACCATTATCCTGCATCCCCAGATTAATAGTAAGTCCATGATATCATCTGATAGGAAGTCCATATTCAAATCTCCCCGGTTGTTTTCCAAATGGCTTTGGTTGTATTTATTTTCCCGATTGATGTAGGCATCAGTCATGGTTGATAACTTGCATGTGGTTGTCTCTTTTTCCCCTACAACAGGTCTCTCATATTTCTGTTTTCTCTGGTTGTTTTGTTCTCATAACAGTGACTTTTCCTGAAGAACCCAGGCTACTCTTCTCATGGTATCTTCTCCATTGTGGATTTGCCTGATTGATTTTTCATTGTTAGATTCAAGCAAGAACATGACAGTGGGGTCTCATATTTCCGAATGCTGTGCGCCAGGAAGTCCGTGGCGTCAGACTGTGCTCCCACTGGTGATTCTGCTTGGTCACTTGGCTGAAGTGGTGACTGGAGTGGTCTCTCCAGAGTGAGGTGCATTTCCTGCTTTGGGATTAGTAAATAGTCTCTGTGTGTTTGGGGCACGGAACTTAACTGTGTGATTAATCTGTTCCCTAACAACATTTCATCTTATATTTTCATGACCTGTCAATGATTGTTGCTCACTATAATTATTACTTGGAGCTTGAAAATTGGTAATTTTTCCAATGCTGTTATTATTTTTTCATTTGTTAGCTGGTATTCTTCTACGAAGCACAGATTTTTAAAAATTTCTCAATCTTGCTCCTTCTCTATTATCATTACAAAATCATTTAAAAAATTCAATGTATTATAACTCACTGCCATCATGGTTCTTTTTGATACTCCAATGTTCCAAATTTGGCTGCCAGAAACTACTTCAGGAAGGCTCTCATGTCTCTTTGATATGGTCCTGTTAGTATTTGAGCACTTCGTTTTCTTTCGTTGTCTTCTTACACTACACTATGCCTTGTGTTTTCCTTGCCCTGGACCTGGGATTAATTGTTACTGGAACAGGCCATGGTATTTTACAGTGTGGGATGTGTTTGGAAATCAATAGCTGAATATTAACTATGCTCGTTCCTATTGGAGTGTCATTATTTCTAGTTAATTTAGGCAGAGTGCTAGAATGTATATAAATTATGAGTTCATATCCATTCTAATTTTAAAAAGTATAAGATTTAAAAATTTTCTTTAATTTTATATGAATGCCTATATCATCTTATCAGTCATCTACTGTTAACAATCTGAAGAAAAGAGATGGGGATATATTTGGGCTTATAAAAAAGCAAGTGACTGACACCAGTTGATATCGAAAGTATAGGTACCAAGTTACCTGGCTGAAATGGAGAATGTTACTTGAAGTAAAAAAACTGGGACTAGATTAGGACTGTGATTCCTGATGCCTGAACTAGTAGGTGTCAATGCAATCACCTGGTAAGCTTAACATGAGGGAAAGTGCCTGGGCCTGTCCCCAGATGTCCCTATCGAATTGGTTGGGGGCTGAGCCCAGGTAACTGTGGTTTTCAGAGCTCAGCCAGTGACTCTGCTGTGCATTCCGATTGCAGATCCTGGATGATCAACACAAGCAGCACCTGGGAGACTGTAAAACATGTGGCTCCTTATGTCCATCCCAGACCCAGAGTGAGAAACCCTGGGAGTAGGACTCAGAAAACGATGATGGTGCCCTCCTTCCCAGCCACCCTCCCTGCAGCATGCATTTAAACGTAAACACTTCACTGAATTGAGCCTTCAAATAAGGTAGGGAGTCCAACAAAGCTGTGTTCCTGCCCTGCAATAACTGTTTGAATGCTTTCTTTTTCATTTCCTACCATGTTCTAAAGACTGTTTGGCTTTAAGAATAGGCTTGGTTTCCTGATCGGGCAATAAGTATTAGGGAAACGGCATTTGCAGAAGTCATGGACAGCAGAGATAACATGGAACATTCAAAGAACTCGGAGGGCAGTCTGGGGGACTGAAGTGCCAGCTGGTACAAAAGGAGACCAGGACCCAGGGAAAGGCCACACGGTGCAAGGCCCAGGACAGGCTCTTAGTAACATACTTAGGTTTACGTTTGCAAAGATCAATTTGGTTGTTGTGTGGACAGTGGTCTCAGTGGACCCAGAGTGGATGCCAGTCTCCAGGCTGTTACAGTCATGATGGACAATGTTGGGGACTTGCAGACTGCATCCTTAAGCACAAAGGAGTGAGCTCTCTTTCAGGATGGATGGCAGAGGGACACTTTATGAAAGTAGACTGATAACATAGCACAAGGGAGACTAGCCCACAACTAGAGTAGACACTGTATCTGACAAAGAGGAATAAATAAGTCATTGACATTCCCTGAAGATATGTCAACATTCCCAGTCCCATGTCCCAGAAAGCACAGCTCCTTGTGTCTGTCCTTAAATGAGGCTGAGGAGCAGTACTGGTCACATGCTTGCCCGGGACTTTGCCGACCGGCCAGGGTGGGGGCCCACTGAAGCAGGTGGACCTCAGGGTGGGCGAGCACAAAATTGAGAAGGTGAACTGTTCTGGCAGCCCCCGGGGTATTTCTAATGCTGAGAGATAAGAACATGCCAAACTGAGTGTGGGGCTGCTCAGGGGGTGTGGTTTGGGGAGGAGGAAGTGGCTACAAAGGTCGTTTTTGTCCTGGGCCTCGGAGTAAAGTGGGAAGTCTCCAAAATTTTGTAAACCGGAGTCCACAGGTTTGTCCTCTGGGGTGACTACATTATCCAAACACCTTGGAAATAGTTTGTGAGAAGGTCTAAACCACAGAAACAAAGCAGGCAGCTGTTGCTTTTATAGATGGTCATCCACACCAGCTGCCATTTGTGAAGGGCTCCTGTGCCAAGGCCCGACCAGCTGCCGGCAAGGTAGACAAGGAACCTGCAGCACTGGGAGGGCAGGCGGGGCCTCCTGCCCCAGCATCTTCAATTGCTGGTGTTCTTACTTCTAGGTACACCTTCAGAGGTTTGGGAACTTACCAAGGAGCGATTGTGTGGGTAATTTATATATCTAGTGTTTAGTTAGATGTTATTTTTCATTACATAGTAAACTGTGGCAGGGCTTGTTAGTCTTGACTTGAAGCAAGGTCCTGGAGAATGAGTTTGCCCCAGTGAATGCTTATGGGAGCAGAGGCAGCAGAGTGGGGAGTCAAGGGGCAGGCGACAGTGTGGGCTTCTGGGAGGGAAGGAAGGCAGGAAGTAGAGACCATGGTTAGAAGCTGAGGGGCAAAAGGGATGGGGGGGGTGTCTGAAAATAAACTAGCACAGGTTTTTCTAAGGGCTTGCACAGGCTGCCTGTAATCAGAGGTGTGAATAGTTTGTTTCTTGACTCTGCAGGCAAATTTAGGTTTTGGGGGGCCCCTAGTTTGTATAATTCTGGAGTCCCTCTCTGATAATTTTTTTAATTTTTATTGTTTATTATTGTTCGGTTACAGTTGTCCCACCTTTTCCCCTGTTATTCTCTTCTGCCCCACCCCCTGCCCCATTCCCACGGTCACTCTCCACCCCATTGTCCGTGCCCACGAGTCCTCTACTCTTGTTCCATGACTTGCCCGTTCTCCTTCTTGGAGAAAAAGACTAAAAATTGTTAACAGATTTGATATGGAGTGGATATTATTTTGTAAGATGGACAATCACAACAAATTCCAAAATTCGAAAACACAACAGGCATTACACTAAAAACTCCAAAAACAATATAGATTTTAATTAACCCCATGACATACCTCTAAAATACTTCATTCTACGTTTTTTCTTCTGCCTACTCTTTGATCACCTCTTCATATGATGGTGCATTTGCTCTATTGTTTTTTTTTTAATTGAGAGAAAAGATAATATTCCTCGAGCATGAATGATCAACACTTGTTTTTTTATTCTTGTTTGATAGCACTCTTTCAGCTTCATAACTTGTTAATGGTAGTGTTACAGACAGTTGACCCTTAGACAACATAGGTGTTAGGGGAACGAACAAAACCCCCGATGTAGTTGAAAATTTGCTTATGAATTTTGACTCCCTCGAACTTAGTTGTCCCTTGGTTTCTGCAGAGGATTGGTTCCAGGACACCCACCCCCCACCCATTCTGTGCATACCCAAATGCAGGGATGCTCAGGTCCCCTGTATAAAATGTCCTAGATCAGTGCACACACTCTGCATCTGGGCTCCCAACCACATGGGTAGAAAACCAGGCAGGTAGTCACTGAAGAAAATTTGCATTTAAGTGAGCTTGTGCCGTTCAAACCCATGTTGTTCAACAATCAGTGGTAAATAATGAGGATTTTGTCAAGTTTGGAAAACTCTGTATCGAGTCTTTATCACATAAGGAGTGTGAGTTTCAGCTTCACAGTCCTACCAGGGTCTGAGCAGTTTTCAAGTCCAGAGATGTACGGTCAAAAGGCTGGGAGCGTTTGGCAAATGTGCCGTCTGAATGGGCCAGAGCTGTTTGGTAGGATTTGTAACTACAAAGAAATTGCAGACCATCTGACTGAATGCTAATGGGCTGATCTGAGGCAGGTTTTAAAAATACACAGTTTCATCTACTCATTGCAGAGTTAACAGGTTCTGATGACTCCAGCCCTTTCTTTTTTTGCTGGGTGTGTGTTACCGGGCCAAAGAACCTAGCTGCGTTGGAAACTGGTTTCAAATTACTTGCAGATGGCTGGAGGCAGATGAAAGCCACCATCTAGGTGTTCCTCATTCTCCTCTCTGGTCCCCAGACTGTAGGGCCCTGTGCTGACACTTGGATGCTTGTTTTACAATATCATTTGACAAGTGGGATTTATGTGTCAAAATTTCAGCTAAAGCCAAGAAAATGTCAGAGTAAGCAAAGAGAGGCAGCATGAGAAAGGGGGAAGGGGGTGCCTTTGGAATCCTGAGTGGGTGAGCTTGTGGGGGTGCAGAGTCCTCACTCCACCAAGCACACAGGGAAATTAACCTGGCTGCCAAGAGCGGGAGGTTCCTTTGGTGTGTCTTTGTTCAGTGCTCTGACTGCCTTTATCTGGAGGGAAACAATGTAATAAAAGGGAGACCTTTTCCCTGAATGCATCAATAAAGATAACTCCCTGGATCGGGTCCAAAACCACTGGAGCCACATTTAATTTGCTGTGCTTATGGTTTGGGGGTCTGGTACACAGAGGGGCTCGGGGCCACAGCGACATCAGTGGGAACCCTGACAGGATGTACTAAAGGAGATGCCTGTTCTTTCTTGAAATCTTCAAAATGCCCTAGGTACTAAATATTCATAAATCCTTTTACACTTGGTGAACTTTCCCAAAGGTTTTTCGTCTTGTGATTATTTTAAAAAGTTAAAACATATACACACCAAAAAAAATCTTAAATTCTACCAGAAACCATTAGAATTTTCTATGAAATTTATTGTAAGGTAACTTTCCCTATTCTTTTTTTTTGTTTGGTGTGGGGGAAGGAGAGAAGGCAAGCCCCGTGTGCTGCTCAGAGCAGCATACTAAGAGCATGTGTGCATTACTTCATAAACTATCAGGTGACATGCATCTTTATTCAGACTCAGGAAAGAAAAATAATGAGTTATTCTGCAAAGTTGTTTCTGACACAGGGCAAAATACCTTTGCAAAAAGGCACCATTCATGGGGGTCAGCCCAGACTGGCTCAGGGTCCATTATCCATTAGTTCCAAACAGATTTGGGGAAGAAGTACATCTGTGGACACCATGTTGTGTGCCAAGTCTGGGAAGTAGATCGTGAACAAGTCATAGTAAATGTGATGGCAAATACCCTCTTCTCCATTCCGTCCTTCTCTGTGGATTCAGTTGACCCAAGTTCAGGATCAACTGCCTAGGGAAACCTTAGCAAGTCTGAGTGTCTGTCTTCTCCAAATGTATGAAAGACAGCACACTGTAACGCCCTCGGATGAACAGTAGAAGGAGGGACAAATACTGAGATTTATTTAGGGGGATTTCATACCTTTGTATTTTCTCTAAACCTTCCTGTGTGAAATATAGACTGTTTTCTGCCAGGACCCCGGGCCAATGGCTAAGTAATTTCTCCCAGCAGAACTGGGGTTGATGAGGGAAGTTTCATGTGAGTAATTGCTTCTTAGATAAAATAAATTCTGGAAAATATACCTGGAGCTCATAGGTATCAGAAGTGCCTTGTAAAGTGACCCAAAATCTGACTTGTTGATTTAGCAATTTTGGAAATAAAAAGATTGGGATTTTGGAAAAGTCCCACTGTATATGGTGTCAGTAGGTTAACTGTGTGCTGGTAACTGCTGCGAATCAGCATTTCATTACTGGTGGGATAGTTTGAACAGCCCCTAGGAGATTGTACAGGAACACAATGCACAAACCTAAACTGCATTAACATTATTAGTCCCTGAGCTCTGTAAAGATGATCCAATACTAAATAAAGACACTAATTTTACTTGCTTATACAGACTTCAGTTCCTGTGTGTGTGTCTATGTGTGAGTGTGTGTATAAAACTTAGAGAAGAATAGGCCAAGATACTTGATTAAAACTAAAAAGAGGGACTTCTGGCCCAGATGAAGTATAGGTGGAAACACTGTACCTCCTTGCACAACCAAGTTTAAAGACAACAAAGTTTTAGTAACAAAAACGCAACCAAAACACAGAAAACTGAACTGTACGGAAGTCTGACAACAATGAGCCATTCAGCCAGGTGGGTAAGGGGGTGGAGTCAGTGGCTGACGGAGCAGGGTCAGGCAGGAAAAAGTGGCCAGACCAACCTAGGCACACAGGCCGAGTTTGGCAGATCCCAGGTGTGGGGTGGCAACAGGCAGACCCAGTGAGGGCGCAAGGCAGCTGGCTGACCACGGCCACACATTCACACTCAGATAAACCAGGCGAATGAGTGAGCAGTGAGACAGACTGTGCAGGCTAGGGCCCCAATGACAGGAATCAAAGCCTAAAAGCACCAATTGGAAAAACTTTCAGGGTCGAGGTGCTGGGAGAAGCTCCCAGGCTCACAGAAAGTTTGTTGGAGAGATCCATGGGGTCCTGGAGGGTGCACAGGCCCACACACCCGGAAGCCGGCACCAGGGGGGCCTGGTTTGCTTGTGAGAAGCAGCAGAGGGGACCGAGAGAGAGCAGAAAAGAAATGCCATTACCCCTCCTTGACCCCGCCCCCACATACAGCGTCACATCCCAGCGACTAGGTCACCCTGCCCTGGTGAACATCTAAGGCTCCACCCTTCATACATAACAGGTGTGAAAAGACCAAAACATTATGGCTTAAGAAGAACAGCTCAAAGCCCTAGAGCCAATACTTCTAAGTGACCAAGAGATAGCCAACCTATCAGATGCACAGTTCAAAACACTGGTGATCAGGATGCTCACTGAACTGGTTGATTTTAGTTACAAATTAGAGGAACAAATGAAGGCTAAACTAAGTGAAATGAAGGGGAATGCACAGGAAACCAATAGTAATGGAAAGGAAACTGGGGCTCAAATCAAGGGAGTGGACCAGAAAGAAGAAAAAAATGACCAAATAGAAAAGAATGAAGAAACAAGAATTCAAAAAAATCAGGAGAGTCTTAGGAACCTCCAGGACATCTTTAAACGTTCCAACATCCAAATTATAGGGGTACCAGAAGGGGAAGAGGAACAACCACAAGTGGAAAACTTATTTGAACAAATAATTAAGTAGAACTTCCCCAATCTGGCAAAGGAAATAGACTTCCAGGAAATCCAGGAAGCTCAGAGAGTCCCAAAGTAGTTGGACCCAAGAAGGAACACACCAAGGCACATCATCATTATATTAGCCAAGACTAAAATGGAGGAGAGAATCCTAGAAGCAGCAAGAGATAAGGGGACAGTCACCTACAAAGGAGTTCCCATCAGACTCTTAGCAGATTTCTCAAAAGAGACCTTACAGGCAAGAAGGGGCTGGAAAGAGGTATTCCAAGTCATGAAATCCAAAGACCTACATTCAAGATTGCTCTATCCAGAAAAGCTTTCATTTAGAATGGAAGGGCAGATAAAGTGCTTCTCAGATAAGGTCAAATTCAAGGACTTCATCATCACCAAGCCCTTATTATATGAAATGTTAAAGGGACTTATCTAAGAAAAAGAAGATAAAAATATGAACAGTGAAAGGACAGCAAACTCACATTTATTAACAACCACACCTAAAAAAAGCAAACTAGGAGGACAGCTAGATCAGGAGCAGAACCATAGAAATGGAGATAACATGGAGGGTTAGCAACAGGGAAGTGGGAGAAGGAGAAGGGGGGAGAAGGTACAGAGAATAAGTAGCATAGACGGTAGGTAGAAAATAGACAGGGGGCAGGGCAAGAATAGTAGGGGAAATATAGAATCTAAAGAACTTGTGACACATGGTCATAAACTAAAGGAGGGGAATGGTGGGGGAGGGGGGTGCAGGGTGGAGGGGAATGAAGGGGGAATGGGACAACTGTAATGGCATAATCAATAAAATATAATAAAAATAATAAAACAAAAGGGGAAAAGATAATACACATACACACAAACTAAAAAGGGGGAAAGAGGGAAACAGCTTCTCCCTGTGTAATGGTTATTTTTAATGTCTTCACCCAATAAGCAGGAAAAGAGGACAAAGAATAGAGAAAGCTGAGGCATTTGTATTTAAATAGCTCTGTATGTTTTGGAGAAGGTTAAAGAAGGTAAAGCAGGTGACTATTTATTTGGACATGGGGAGGTGAAAGTTGAAGGAGTTTGTGTCAGTGGCTTCCTTTTGTTAGTTTCCTAGAAGACAAGGTCATCTCTGAGAGTCACACAAGAATAAAGGAGCTAATCCAAGAACTCTAATATCACTGATATATGGGGAAATAGGAAAGGCCAAAAATAAAAACATTAATGAGCTGGACTGAGGGCCCAAGCAAAGGAGGAAGTGACAAATAGATAGGCGCCAGTAGCTAATTGTTACAACTTTGCCATTTTCTTCAACTGAACTCAGCAGGCCAGGAAGGAGACAGTGGCTGTGATGGGATTATGTTTTATGTTATGAATCGTCAGACCTAATACTCAGAAGGTCGTGAGAGTGAGGGACCTAAGCGTGCTGTCAAGAATATGTTGCAGTTACTAACTACAGGGTCCAAAGCAGGTGAGAAAATGAAAGCCAAGCCAAGTTTGGGAGGGTAAGGAGGCATGGTGTGCCTGGAAGTTTCACGGAACAGACATAACTAGGGTGAGAAGAGGAGGCGTTGGAGATAGAAATTAGATAGTGAGATTCTGCTGATACAGCAGTTCCTGGTTGTGGTACTATCTGGACTGAGGGCCTGGGAGGGTGGGCTGATATGTAGGGATAAAGGATAAGGTCGAGGAACCACAAGGCTGAGAAGATGGGTGAGTCAGCACATGGATCATCTCATCTAGGATGGTGCTAAGACTCTGGCTGAAGAAAAACAATTACATGCAACAAAAGATTTCATTGTCCTCTGATGTTCTGTGAAAGCGTTGCTAAATTGTTGGTTGGCTGTGCTTTGAAAGAACCCTACGAGTCAAAAAGTCCCTTCAGAGAGACTAGCTGCTGTGTCCTGGGAGCATCCTCAAGGCAGCGTGGACTTGGAACTGGAAACATGGACCCTGGTGTGATTCTGTCATTGACTTACTCATGTAACAGACTAAATAGCAACCTCCCTGGGCCCCTTATCTGTGAAATGAGAGGTTTGGCTTATGTGGTTTCCCAGCAATTTTCTGGCTCTAAATCACATTCAGCTTCAGCAGAATATTTGTTTCTAACCTTTCCCATGTTGCTGTTGAGTTAGCCTAATTGCTACCTCTTCTCCACTGATTTCATTCTGCCTCACCCGCCTATGACTCCTTCTTTCCACTCAGAGATAACGGTCTCAGCTGGCGCAGGATAATTTCCCCAGCTGCCAAAACTATTTCCAAAATGCAAACTTGTGGCTGCTGATTCACACACTGCTTGAGAAGCCCTGTTTCTGACTGGTTTCACATATGGTGCCATTATATCCAGAGACCGAATCACGGGTGAAAAGCTGAGATAATCAGGGAAAATGACCACTTGAGATGTTATTTTGTGACTCAGAGAGGTACAAAAGATAAAGGTCTCAAATTACCAACATCATCATTACTACAGAGTGGGAACAGTTTGATGTGCATGCCCTCTGTCCTTTGGAACCTTAAAATTGAAAATACTCCAGCTTAATGTCAAACATGTAACTACACAAAACACAATATAAACATCGTTTTGTTGATTGGATAAATAGCCAAATGATTTAGGAGCCAAAAGATATTACCCAGGGGCCAGCATTGTGTCTTCAGGTCCCGTTAGCAACATGTAGGATGGGGTAAAAGTAGGTTTCCAGAGTTTATTCTTGTATGATTATTTATTACTTTTCCCACACCCTATATATTTGGAGTTTATATGTGTAAGGCCAGCACCATGAGAATGAGTGAGATGATAAGCAGAAAGTATGGGATGCAATGAAAGGTATTCTCAGCAAGGGGGATGAAGAATCGTCGCCATCCCCCACCGTCCCCCCCCCATTTATAGGCTTGGATGACAACAGGAAGCAAAAAGGACACGGAGCTGACAAGCAAGAGAACTAGTTCAGAAATGTTCCATGGGATCAAAGAGCAGCTCTGAGGAGAAGGATGCCTTCTCCAGAGGAAATGGTGCAGGGGAATCAAAGAAGATGAGGACTGAACGAGGCTATTGGGCTTGTCCACCAGCAGATCATTTCGATGGAATTGTGGGGCAGGACCCAGATAGTATGGGGTTACACAGTGAATGATTGGAGTGGCAGTGATGTTGCTAAGACCAGACTATTCTTTCAGAAAGATGGCTCTTGTTCAGATTTTCTCAATAATGTTTTGTAGTTTTCAGTTACATTTGTAATGAATACATTGCATCCTTTTAAATTTTATTTCTCTTTATCATGGAAATATAGAAGTACATTTAAATTTTATATATTAATCATATGTTTAGCAGTCTTGTAAAATGCTTTAGTTATGTTTTACATTTTTTCCATCACTGTTTATTCCCCCCTTTTATCCTCTTCCACCTCCACCTGCCCCTTTTAGGGGGGTTCTATGCCTGCAATCTTGTCATCTAGTTATGGCAGTTCTTTCTTTCCATTTATTAAAACTGTATTTCACGCCTTATTGAAATGCATCAGACCTCAAATGCAGTGTTGAAAAGAAAAGCTGATAGTGGCCTTTTGCCTTCCCAATGGCTTAGAGATAACTGTCAGTATGTAATTAAATATGCTTTTTGTAAGTATTCTTTATCACAGAAAGACAATTTTGTAATTATCCTATCTATCTTGGTTTGCTAAGAGTGTTTTTAAAATCATGAATCAGTATTACATTATATTGAATATTTTTCTGCATTTATTAAGATGGTTATATAATTTCTTCCTTAATTTGCTAACAGGTGAATACACTGTCATTATCTGTCGGGAGCCAACCAGCAGCCGTCCCTTGACACAGTCAGGATGGATGAGATGCATCTGCACAGCAGAGGCAATTGTGGCTGGATTTCTGTCTATCTCTCTTAGCAGGTTTGTCTTTGAGATTAATAGGTGGTGGGATTTTTAGACACCTGCATTTCAGGGTCAATGATCCACATAATTCCTACAAAGTTGTACAAAATAATCTCTTGGCCAGAGAACAAATTCCCCCCTAATGAGGTAGCCCCTGAATATCTAACAATTGTTAGAGTAACAACCCCTCCTCTACCTTGGACAGGAATAGAATTAGACAAATAAGAAAAGCAGGACATCAAAAGCTCTATGCATACAGCTAGCTCTAATTGTCTGATTAATGACTCTCCTGGTCAAAATAACTTTTGTTTAACATAACTTCATACCATGCACCTGCTCCTTTAATGTTACGTATCAATCTCTATAAAAATGAAGCTTAAATCAAACTCTGCAAGTTCAGTCAGACCCTCAGAGGCTGGCTGTTCTCTGGCATCCAACCGGGTGTCTGACTCTTCATGTCACCTGTGCCGTCCATCCTTTGGGGACCCTGAACCCTGCTGAGGCTGGACCCCAGCCATTATCTATGTATGTGTGTGGGAATATATACCTGGATTTAATTTGCTAATATTTTCATTGATTTAAAAAACTCATGTTAAGAGATTGGCTTCTCTGTTTGCTCTAGAGTATAGATTTCTGGAATGTGTTTTAATGGTCCTTGTCTTTGGAAACTTGGTCCAAACTTCTTTGTTTCATGAGTCCTCTGAGACTGCTGAAAATGCCACTCTGCATTTCAGAAGTTTTTGCTTAGTTACATAGCATTTTGCCCTGAGCAGGTTAATATTTGGCAATTCCTCTGAGGGGAAAACACAAATATCGGGCTTATTGCTTTGTGTTTTGTGTTTTCTTTGTCTCAGACCTGGTCCTTCCAGTCCTAGAGGCCTTGCATCCCAACTAAATTCTCTGTCTTCCAAACCCACAGAATTGACTAAAGCTCTACTGCCTCCTGGGCCCCTTCACTGTGATGCTTCGCTTGAGTTCCAGCCCCTTGTCCAGGACCAGAATCAGAAAATGCCTCAGGATGAAATTTGTTTCAAAGAATGTCAGCTCACCTTTCTTTCTTTTTCTCCCTGAGATCTTGTCTCATCAATCTGGGTCACCCTCATAGTTTTTTGATGACCCTCAAGAGAATTTTTGTTTGTATTTTTTTTCCAGCTTTTCTAATTGCCTCATCAAAAGCATGGCCTGCCAAAAGCGTGGCCTGACTCCATTTCAGCCCAACGAGATTTGGTAAATGCCATTATTTGATTTTTATTAAAAAGTTCTATAACTTTGGAAATTTCATATTGTTCCTTGAGCTGGTTTATTTGCATATTTTCATTTTACCTCCTCCACAGGCTTATCCTATGTAATGTAGGATATCTATGTAATATAATTTTAGACCTCAATGTCTATTGATCACCATACAATATTTTTCTTAAACAAAATGGGCATATAATTCTTTATAAATTTAATTCCCTGTGACCAATGGTTTCTAATAGCTCTCCAAGTCTTTGAGTCAATGGTTCTCACTTTTGTCTGCATTTTGAATTACCTAGGGAGCTTTAAAAATTGATCTCATATAGGTCCTGCCCCTAGAGGTTCTTATTTAATTGGCCTTAAGTACAGCTTTGGCATTAAGTTGTTTTGAGGTGTCTCCCAGTAGTTATAATGCGCAGCTACTGTTGGCAGCAAGTGCTCTGAATGTCTAAAAAAATGGTTCTGGTTTGAGTAAGCACTGCAAATTTAGTAATCCATAGTTGATCACAATGAATTAAATACATTATACATTTTAAGGAAAGGGACCTCACAGAAATCAATGTTTCAAATTGTACCTTTGCTAATCTCTTCAAAGGCTTTCATACTTCATTATAATACATAGTATGGATGAGGTATATCTTTATTTTTAGATGGGTAAGAAATGCCTTTAGAAAAAGGTTAATAGGGCATTTATGAAAGGGGGGCAGGAATGAAATTGCCTCAACCAAAGGCACATTTTCAGGCAGATCAATGTTAGGAAAAAAATAATACAATTCAAGGATCTAGAATTTGCCAGGTACCACAGGAAATCCTCATGTGTCCCCCAAACTGGGTGAGGGTGTGCCGCTTTGAAACCAGTGTTCTGTGGTGTGCTGGATAATGTTCCCTTTCCCCTCTAAATCCACTCCCCACCCCTCTCCACCCTGCTCTCTGCCCCTGGAGGCTGCTCTAATAGACTCCACCATCAGCCTTTCTTGCCCTCTAGCTTCCACTTATAATTATTCAGGGAGTTAGAGAGCTGAGTGAGGTCAGGGTGTTTATTTTCCAGGTTCCCTTTCCGCGGGGTTTTCTAGGGAAGGCTGACTGCCCTGATTCAAGGTCACAGTTCCCCTTAGGTGGCCATCTCTCCCTGACTTTCAAGTTTTGGGTGGTTACTCTCTCTTGTCCTGCTGGCCTTAGAACAGGGAACAACCCCGAGATACTCCACTTTTCTTGGTGATTTCCCTATACCATTTGAAAACTCTCTTTCTCAGGCCCTCCTTAAATCGTCTGACCTTGAATGCATTTGCTGATACGTACAGGAACAGAGGAACTCTCTGTATGACCGAGTGGCTTCTGCAGTGATTGGAATCAGCAGTGTTACCAGGGAGTTCTTCTAGTTCCTTGTCTTCTCTAATTAGAGAGCACAATAGCTATTTCTGAACCAAACCTCAACAAAAAAAAAACCCCTGGTATTACGGCTCTGTCAGTATACAGACCCAAAGAATAAATGCTTCAGCTGACATAATCAAAACTAATACAATGAGAACATGGATATTCTGTTCTGGACCATTTCCTGCCCACATCTTTATGCTTGGCAAAAGAGGGAAAAATTGACAGACAAGCACCAAAGGAGGAATGTCAAGCATATACAATGAGTACACTGTTCCATCACTTTCCCCCAGTTACCCCTTATTTATATACAATTATATCTTTTGTTGTTCACGATTGGTTCTTGGATGTCTGTCTTCTCTTCTTAGCTAGATTGTAAGTTTCATGGGGACATAAACCACACACTTCTATTTCTTTGCAGTTGCTGTATCCTGACTATTGTCTACTCAGCTCTCTTTCAGTGCACACATATTTTGCATTTTCAATCGGATGCCAAGCTCATCTACTGAGTTCTTAATTTTAATATTTGCATTTTCTTCATTCATTTATTCAACAATAATATTTACTGAGATTCCATGCTAGATATTATATAAAAATTAACAGGGGACCCTAATTTTAATTACAGAAGAGTGTGATAATGATTGATTTAGAAAGATTGATTGCATTTTTAAAAATCATATGCCCTTATACATCTTTCACCAAACTCTATCTACTCTGTGACTACCCAAGCTCTTGGTTGAAAATGATATAAACCAACGCTGGGTAACTTAAGTAGAAAAGGAATTTATTGGTACAATACCTTATAAATTACAGATTCAACCAAAGGTCTGTAAAACCAGGTTTAGAAAACGGACAGAGACCTGAGGAGGGTAATAGGACCAGGTGAGGATTTAGGCAGAATACAGGTGGGGAGCATGGTGCTGTCACAGCACTGGTGATGGGTGCCTGGCTTCCTCCCTGGACTCCTGGCCCCTACAGCTCTCTAGAGACTGGAGGCCAGAGGCTAGCACTTTCCCTGCCTCTGGCAGGTATTGTCAACTCTCTCTGCCCTTTGTGTTTCACTCACTTGAGACCCTTAAACCCCATGGTAATTATCTGTGGAAGTGAGTTTAGATCTCTTCCAATTGCTAAGGGTCTGGAAGAAGGTGGACATTCAGGGTTTCTGAGAGAGGCACACCACTTCCAATTGAGACCGATACAGTGGAAGATTTTCCAAACATGGGAAAGAGGCCCACATGTTCAGAGGCCAAAAAAAATGCTTGTAACTGTCCACTCTATTCATAATGAAGTTTGCAGCCCACACACTGATGATGGTATTATGTACAGGTAAACTGCTTATTCCAGACACTCGTGAAGCCAATGGTTTCAGGATAAATCCTAAAGACTTTCCCAGGAATTGAGCTATTCAGGGCAGAATTTGTCATTGTTACTTCACTTAAATATTTGTAAGCACAAAACAGCTCAGAGCTAATTCATTCATGCATTTCCAGAAATATTTATTGACCACATGTTAAGTGAAAGGTAGTGAAAAGTAGTAAAACACAGTTGCCCTGCCTCTCACCATTCCAGCACCAGCTTTCATTCTAGCCTAGTCTGGAGGGCCTTGAATTTACAAGGATCTCACTTTATTAAAATTTCTCTCTCTCTCTCTCCCTCCCCCCACCACCCCTCCCTTTCCTTCTCCTCTCTCCCCCTCTCTCCTTAGTGAACACAAACTAAGAAAAGAAGGCTAGGTGAATGGTAAAATGCAGAAAGTGACCCAATGTCAGAAAATTTACTGTTAAATTTTGGGGTGAAAAGCAATAAATAAACCCAAGGGAGTATCCTGACGATGAAGATAACAACATAAAGGCCAAGGGGATACAACCGCTAAGCAAAAAAAGGTGAAAATCCTCTTTTTAATTTTCCTTACCCCTACATCAAACATTCACTCAATGCCAAATCCAAGACAATTAGGAGTATGACCACTGCAATTGGCCACCATGGAGAAGCTACCCTGTACCAGGCACCATACTAGGCCCTTCGGATGCATTGCTTCTCTTGGTCTTTACCACAATCCTATGACGTAGCTAGATATTATTACCCAACTTTGTAAACTAGCACACTGACTCCCAGAGAGGCTAAGTAGCTTACCTAGTCACACAGACAGTAAATAACAGAGCTAGGAGTTGAACCCCGCTTTACTGGACTGGAAGCTGAGCTTTTAATCACTTACAAAGCTGAGAGGAAAGCTTAATGGGCATACCAGTCTGGGATGTTTCTTGGACTTGAAGAAGACATCTCTGCAAGGTGCCTTGCAGTCCAGTTCAATAGGAGATGGTGGTTGGGACATTTCATTTGACTTCTGAGTTCGCCGTGTATGAGCTTGCTCCTTGGAATCATATTGATGATGTTATTTTTGGCCATTCAGTGGAGGTTAAGCATGTGAAAATTAAGTGTTTTATTGTGGCGAGTCCTGACTGCTTCCCAGACATCCATATGCAACTCCCTGAGCTTGTGAGGACGCAGCCTGGAGGTTGTGGTGACCGCCTAGTGTTGGCTGTGCAATGGACACAGTAAGCTGTAAGCAAGCAGGGCCCTGGTTCTTTCTTTTAAGACTATTTTTGTGATGGACTCACAAGCCACAGTCTTTTATTGTAGAAATATTACTGTTTTATTTGCACAAATCTTCTAAAAATGAAGGAAAGCCTGAGTCTGGGACTTGATTTTATAGAACACTGCCTGTGCCAAAGCCAGTCCAAATCTTACCTCATTGCAATGTGCCTCTGTGGCTGATTTTACTTTCCATTTCTTTCTCTTATTTGAGGTCATTATAACACATTTTATAGGTGAGTGTCAAACAGCAAGACTTCACCAGTGTGGGGACTATTGCTGGAAGTCATGCCGGAATGCACAACTGTGATCACTAAGTTCACGGAACTGCAACATTATGGCTGGGATTTTACCTATACAGAAATCATGAAAACTCCCAACCTCAAATCCCTCCTGCAGCCCACAGAGGAAAGGGAACGGTGCTCTATACTATAAGCAGACAGCCCGCACACCGTTAACGACTCCATTTGTGGAGTAGGAGACCCCTGCTAGTTCCCATTTCAATAAACCATAAACTTTTACATGCACACTAAACACCAGAAGGCTTGCAATCATTTCACTATTATCTAAATCCATTGAATATGCATTTATGCCATCCGAGACCAAAGTGCAAGACATAATGCTGCTCCTTTAAAAACCTTATATGTTGATCCAATCAATATCTCCTATGTCCCCAGAAGTGTAGCAGCATGGAAAATAGTTTCCTAGTCCCATTTGGGCTCACTGGATATTCCATTTTACAGCTACAGTTTTCACTTGCATACAATCCTCACATCTTTTTTGCTAAGCAGAGCCAGCAGGGGCAACACCGTACAACAGTGATTTTCAACATTGGCTGCACGTTAGAATCATCTGGAAAGTTTTTAAGAATCTTGATGCTCAGGCTGCACCCAAACCAATTACATCAGACTCTTGGGAGGTGGGACACAGGCATTCATCTTTGCTAGCTCTTCCCACGGGGGTGTGCAGCCGGGCTGTGGGCATACTGTCCTGCATGCCCTTCGTCTTTCTGTGTCTCGTTTCTTTGCTTTTTCATCACTCCCTCTCTCCACCCAAGTTCTCTAAGCTCCAAAATGCCTTTT